CCCCAAAACCCCAAAACCCCAAAACCCCATATCAAAGATTTTTGGTAAAAAATAATGCTAATAAATCTCTAAAAATTAAAGTTGTTAATTAATCAATGATAGTTATAGATCTAATTCAAGTTTTGGTTGTAGTTATTTTAAAATTAACTATGATTATCTTGCATTTGATGATTCTATTAAGGATTCTAGTTTTGCTCCATTCCATCATCACTATTGTATTACTAATACTATTGTTACTGTAAATAGTCTTGATTATTTGCGTATTCATACTCATTTTCCTTATCTTCATTCTCCTCTAGGATTTAATTGATAAGTTTCTTATTTCTACCTTCATTAGTATTCGGCTTGAAGGTGCACTCACTTCTTTCTTTTTCGTTTAGTTCCTTGAGTAACTTATTCTTTTTCTCTATTTTAGTATGAGAAAGATCAAATGGCTTTGGAATAGTATAAGCTCCACTCTAGGTTTGATTCATTTGAGTAGTATTTGTTTAAGTGGGTCTATTTGGGTTAGTCATGTCTAGTTCTTCAGAGTTTACAGCAAATTTATGATTAAGTCCGAATACCTCTGCTTCTCTTAGCTTCTTATCTTCCTCTTTTTTCTTTTGTAGCTCCTTTAATTCAAGATGTCTGCCTAATCCTCTTACAACTACAACTTAATCTTTAGATGTAGAGGGTTCTTTCTCTAAAATAGTTGGCTTGAATGTGCAATCCTTTTGCACTTCGTATTCTCTTTCCTTTCGTACCTTGGCTATTTTCTCCTATTTTTCCTTTAGCTTTTACTTTAGATTCATAGAAAATTACTCGAGACTTTCACCATCACTTAATTTATATGTGGAATTTACTTTATCATATTTCTTATTCTTGGTTGTCTCTGGTCTGAAAGTGCAATAATTTACCTCCTGGGTGGCAAATTACTCTTAGAGAAGTTCTTTTTTCTACAATCCTTTAGGATTATAAGCTAAGTCATCAATGCTTGAACCTTTAGCCAGGGTTTTCGAGATCTTGTTAATTTAGGGTTTAAAAGTATACTGCGAATATACTTCCTTTTCAATCATTTCTTTGACTATTTCTTAACGTTTATGGTCTTTTTTATAAAGTCTATAATATCTTTCGTCCTCAGTTTCTGCTCCTCTCTTTGGATCTGATTCCATGATAATATCGGAAGTGACATTTATTTCTGGCTTGAATGAGCATTTTGCCTCCTCTGAATATTTTTATCTAAATTCCTCTCTTTTTTCTGTTTATTTCTGGACAAAGGCTTACTGTCTTTCATAAAAATCTTTTAAATTACCGTTGAACAAATCGGATTTCTCAGAAAGATAGTTAGATGTTTTAGAAATATGAGGCTAAAATGAGTAATCTTTTTATAGCTGCTCATTGTAAGATTCATGCTGCTACATTTATTTGTTTATTTTATTAGCAGCATCTTAATAAAGCCTTTCTACAACATCTTTTGGACGACTTTCCTCCTCCATTCTCTTAACTGTTGTGATTTTGGCAGATTTTGTATTAACTTATGGATGGAAGGTCAAATCTTATTGCTCCTATTCAGATTTCATTCTAAGTTTCTATAATTTTTCATTCTTTTCTTTTTATAAGTGACCAACTCTCTCATGAATTGGGACTTAATTGCCAAATTTATTGACATTTACTACTGAGTTAGACTATGCCATTAATTGTGGCTTGAAGCTGCAATCTTTCATTTACTCTTATTCAACTTCTCTTTTGAGTTTTTCACGCTTTTCTTTACGAATATCAGCTTCATGCATTAGCCTTTCTGGCAATGGAATATCATCATTTTCCTTATTCCTATGTTTTCTTGCACTTTTTTTGTTTGATTTAGTAATTGATGGTTAAAAAGTGCATTATTTAATTGTCTCTTCTTACTCAATTTTTGCCTTTATTAATTCTCTTTTTTGGATTTCTGTGGTTTTTGGCTCGGTTAACTTCTTCCATCTCTCCTCTTTGGAGAATTCTTTGCTAGGAGGTACTTAGTAATCATTAACTTTGGGCTTGAAAGTATGCTCCTCCTAGAATTTTTTCTCAGCCTCAGTAATGAGCTGCTTTGTCTTATTTACCGTAGGTTGTGGACCTCTCTTTAGATCAGCATTTACGGTGTTTTTCATGTACTCTGGCGGTCCCCCTGATCTTCCCTCCTTACTAAATGTTCTATTTTCAACTTATCTGAATTAAGCAGACTGTGGCCTCTAAAGATTCTTAGTTCCAGTTCCTATGCCAGTCATACCTCCAATTCTCATTTTTTAATCATCTTCTGATTCATAGTTAAAATTATGATTTTATGCATTAGTGGCTTAACCTCTATTAGACCTTTGGCTATTTTTCTTGTTCATTTCGAGTATTGACTTTGATTAAGAATTATTAGCAATTTTTTTATCCATATTTTTGACATTAGGGGGTAGCCCATTATTGGCAAAGTCAAGATAGTTTTACATAATATTTGGATTTTTACTCAAAGAGTCAGTCTGCTTACTAGGATTCCATCTCTCAGGCTCAGGTGGTTAACTTCCACTAAAATTATATAAAAGTTTTATTTTAATTACTCATTTTTCCTCTGTTTATTTTGGTTTAAGACATTCTGAATTCTATCTGACTAATAAAAGATGTTATAATATGAAGTATAATTTACTGGATAAGAGTCTACAAAGTCATTGTTATTGTAGATTTAGTTAATCTGCTGTTTCTTTTTTAGTTCTTATTAGATTTAATGCTTGGCATACTCAACTGCGTCTCTATACTTCTAATCATCGAATGATGTCCCACCTAGATTATTTGATGATTGACTAGTCAAGTTGAATTTTTAGTAGCGAGCATTTTGATTGTTTTGATTTTCTAACTCAAATTGATTCTAGAATACCTCTTCTTAATATAGTGCCTCTGGGTTGTATCCACCAATATCAGGAGAAACTTCAGAATGATTATGAGAATTTTAGGTGATATGAGATTGATTTATAGATGTTTTAGATCTACTTGCCCTTCTTTCATTCAACAGTTTATGAACTAAATCTTGCTTTTAGTTTGAGACATCTGACTCAATTCTACTATTTTATTATTGCTATTAATTGTGCTATTATTAATGCATACTATTATTCTAAGAAGTTTTATTGTCTTAAAAGTATATAGGGTTTTGGCTAGAAAATACAGACTGCCCATTGGAGTTGAATTAGCTCCCATGATTGTTGTTTTGGTGATTTTAATTGTAATCAAAAGTTTTGCTATTACTATTATACTAATTAGTCAAAGCGCCATTTCCATAACCCCCATTGTGTGCTCTTTAGTTCTGAAAGTTAATAGAGTTGTTTACTTCATTTTTGAAATTGCTCTACTCTTAATCCATAGTTTATCTTGCTGAAGCAATAGTGTCCAATTTAAACTCATTCGCCTTCCCATCTTAAACAAATTACCTACGCATTTATCTTTCTTGCTATAACTTTTACAGAATCTCCTGTCTTCTCATATCATCAAGTGCTTGATTTTAAGAGTTATGATGAGAGTTCATTCCGAGTAAAGATGAGTTAGAATTATTAGAGGGATTATGATTATTATAAGCTCTTATTGTTGAATCGATTGATGGCTGTTATTGATGATGGATCTAAGAAGGGAACTATTAGGAGTTTACCTGAGGGTAATTTCCAAGATTTTGATGATCAATCTGGGGATTTTAGAAGTTTTATTATCCAAATTAAGAGAAATCTGGATAGTGTTGTTGCAAGTAATTCATATTTATTTCAAATTTGATTGAGATTGAAATAATATTAATGTTACTTTAATAAGTTTAAGATGATATTTGAATTAAAATAAAAATCAATCTATTTAAACTTTAAGCTATTATTTTAAACGTTATTAGACATCACATCTTTATTGCATCATTATTACAATTAATTAGCTATAAAATTTACTAAAGGAATCATGAATCTCGAATGGTTGAAATGATTCAAGGGGAATCATCTGGGAAATCATCATCGTCACTTTGTGAATCCTTCACCCCTGTATTCCCGTTAGAGTAGAATAAGTCTTTTTTTACTCCTTAAGGAGCTAAATTTTTATTGTTTAGATTTTTAATTGGTAAACCCTGATAATCCATGTCTCTATTATCCCTGATCTTTTTAATCTCTTGTACATCATCCCTTTCTTCACTAACAATATCTACACTGTCCATTGGTTCTGTTAGCAAGATATCTATCTTTACTTCTTCATTTTTAATGGGACTTTTATTCTGCTGTTTTTGAGGGGAATCATTTTTATCAAAGGGTCCATCCTTAATCTTAGCTTCTTCTTGCTACTTCACAGAATTATAAAGTTCTCTATCCATTTTCTTTTAGATTCTCTGGCTTTACTCTACTGCTCTGTTATTTCTCTTGGATGCATTAGCGCCACCCTTGCCACTTTCATTTATCTTCATGTTTTTTTGCTCTTCTTTTTTCTTGTTTTTATTCTGAATTTACTCTTACTCCTTTTTTTGCTTGCATTTCTTGCAGCAAAAATAGACTATTAAAATGATAACGATTATCAACACAATTGGAATAACTATTGCAATTACTATGATAACCACATTTTAATCTGAACTTGTTCCATTAGATGAATTGCCAGCTGGAGGGTCGACTATTATAGTTCCACCATTGCTTTCATTTGCATATTTATCATAGTCAAATAATTTAGTAGGGTCAAAAGAGGAGCACTACTAAGAAAACATGGCTTACTAATAGTCATTGGATTAATTTTTGGCTTTAGAATACCAAACATCAGAACAGTTATTACACTTTGTGTTTTAAATGGCTAATTGGAATGTATTGCTTTCTTAACAAGGGACACATTGCTATGAATTATCTTAAAAATATTGGGTAAAATCGCATGACTAAATTGAGTAGAGATTTTTGTTAGCAAAGTATTTTAAGATCAAAGTATTCTAATAGAAACCAATAATCATACCATTTTGCGGTGCTGCAGCTATACTTCTCACATTTTAGATCTCTACTTGTGAACTATATGAGCCATTAACTCCTCTAAACAATTAAACAGAACTCAAGTAGTATAATCTCGCTGCGATTTAGCCAGCAGAGTTAGAACCAATATAAAAAGTTGTTTGCTTTCCTTTCTCAAATCCTTCCAACATAGATCCGAATTAAATATTATTTGAATTTCCATTCAAAGAATTAATCAATGTGAAGGTCTAACGTTCATAGAAGTTTACCTTTCCAATTTGATTATTGCAAAATATGCAGCCCAAGACAATGAGGTTTGAAGTCACTTTATATGTTTGAATCACAAAATCTTTTATATTGATTGTAGAAGTAAGATTTATGTTTACGGATATTGCTACTCCATTTGAATATTTAGGAGTTAAAACATGCTAGTATACCAAATTATCTCTCGTTGTAAATCCAGGACTTGCATATAATATATAGTTAGAGCTATTACTCGGATCTGATGCAAAGGTATAGGATAATGTTTATACTGAAGGAAGACTTATGAATGAAGTTTGAGCCCTACTCAACATTATATTATTTTAGGAAGTCCTTAAGAAAATATAGAAAGTGTCATTGCTGAATTTTACCACAGCATAATCACGATGGACTAGGATATCATTTATACTGTTTTAGCCTATTGATTATTTGTCTATTGAAAATATTTGAGTCACTGACATCCCAGTAGAAGTCTTGGAAGCTCGAAAAACATTATTATCTACCATGTAAGTAATTGAACCAATGAAACTCGCTTCTGCAGAGGGACGAACTGCCTAAAATTACTACGTTTAAGCAGTAAAATTCAAAGAAGTTTCCCCTGTTCTTCCTTGATTACCTTCCACTAATCTTTAGGAATCATATATATAAGAACTTTGGGCACAACTGAACACTATAAAGAGTTAAAATTTATGAGGACCAAAATCTTTCATGAAAAAACTAAAGTCAAATTGTAATGACAAATCTGGGATTTTTAAAAATTAGGATTAACTTACATGTAACTTCAGCGACAGCCAACAAGCAACTTTAATGATCATTATTTGTAAACTGATAAACTGACTAAGATCTTAATTAGGATTAGGCCTTTTATATATTAAGAGAAAGAGCTAGGATAAGTGTAATCATTATCCGATAATACCTCATTGATATAAACTTCATTAATTAGATTAAATTCACAATCAAGACAAATGAATTAATGACATCATCGAGGGGTTTTGGGGTTTTGGGGTTTTGGGG